TTTTTTCCATAAAGAACACACACACACACACACACACACACACACACACACACACACACACACACACAAGCTGATCCAAAGGCCAATGGGGAGGAGCGCTGAGGTCTGTTATGAGATGTGCTAAACGTGGTCCTGAGACTTGGTCCTTGCTACCCAAAGACTTCACTGTGGGCTGAATCAGAGGCCCCGACACCCCTAGGAGCTTGTTAGACATGCAGTCTCAGCCCCCAACAGACCTACTGACTTGCCGTCTGTACTGTTTTTTGGAGGGCGGGGTGAACTCAGGGGCACTCCACCCCTGAGCCCCTCCCCAGCCCTATTTTGCATTTTATTTAGAGACAGGGTCTCACTGAGTTGCTTAGGGCCTCACTGTTGCTGAGGCTGGCTTTGAACTCGAGATCCTCCAGTCTCAGCCTCCCGAGCCACTGGAATGACAGGCGTGGGCCACCGCACTGGCGCCATCTGCATCTTAACTATACCCGAAGCAATTTGCAAACAGCTGAAGTCCATCCAATCCCTTCTAGAAAGATGCTCCTGAGAAGGCAAAGACGGCTGTCATTTCTCTCTTTCTCCTGGGGAGGAGGACTGGATGGGATCAGGGAATCCTGAAGGAAGTGACATTTTCTGCCTTTTCTTTTTGGACCATCAGGAACATCAGCATTTTAAACTGGGGCATCCACTGCATTTATCATCAATATATGAATAACAGCAGGGTCGATGTGCAGAGCTCTCGTTCCTCCTGCGGCTCTGTGCTGAGCACGTCTACAGGGACCCCATAACTAGGGCTGGTAGGACCCCAAGCAGGGTTTGAGCTTGAAGAACCGACCCGAGCACCGCGGGCAGCGAGCCCGCGCTGGCCGCCCTGCCACCAGCCTCCTTAAGGTCCCCTCTCCACCTTGACCTCCACCTTGACCTCTACCTTGACCTCCACGACCTCAGCAAATGTGCCTCTGAGCAGCCGGCTGGGCCCCCCGCAGGCTCTGTTCCCCCCCGCAGGCTCTGTTCCGGCAGACCTCTCGCTGGGAGCCAGGGCGACATTGCTTATTGAGGCCTGTCTTCGACACAGCACTAAAAAGAGACCGTGACACTAAAGGACGCTCGGGCTACATCTTGAATCCGTTGGGTTCCTAAAAGTATTCATCAACGACACGGGCCTTACCCGGGGAGAAAAGAATGGAAAATGAAAGCAGGAGGAAATGGCGGTGGCATATGTCACCTACCCGAGGGCTCCTACAACAGCCGGGCGCCCATATTTCTTGGCACTGGTGATATGTGTCACATAGAGAGCTGATAGTTTACCAAAATAGCCGGGAACATTCACTTTACATAATTTCGCTCTGTCGGGGAGAGAACTTGAAGAAAAAGCTGTCAACTTAAGAGTCTTGTTTACCCCCTCAGGATCTCAAATTAGGTCCTGTGACTCGATCAGGGTATTTAGATAAGGAAGGTTTTCTCTTCTCATTGGAGTTTCTGGACTGGATTCCTTTAGTTCATGGCTCTACTCGTTGGAAAAAGTAGCTCACCCCCAACTGTGACTGTCAGGGAGACAGATGATCGACCTAGGAAAGGAGAGAACCCAGTTCTGGCAGACAGACTAACGTGGGCTTGAATCTCCCTACGTATGCCATGTAGTTGCTGGGTGACCCCGGGTGGGTTACTCCACCTCTCTGAGTTTCCATTTTGGTGGTTTTAAGTGCGGATGGTAATTCCCACCTCCCGGGGTTGCTATGAAGAATGAAGAAGTCACTGTATGGAGTGTCGTGGAGAAACTGGCCCAGCTGTTCTGCTAAGTGTTTACTGAGGACTGACTATGTGCTGGGTGCTGGGAGGAGGCACATAGTGGGACAAAGTGGACTTGGTCCCTGCCCTTATGAAGCAGGTGCTCCGGGTGGGCAGGTGGTGGACACGCAGGGAGACAACCCAAATTTGTGCATTTGTAAATGAATGTTCCAGAACAGGAAGGAAACTGGGGGTGGTGAGGAGCAAGATAAAGGTCCACTGGAGAAGGACCCAGAGAGTCCCCGGGAAGATGGAGGTCCAGGGGACAAGGACGGTGACACCCAGAGTGGAAAGAACGGCTAGCAGAAGAGCCAGGGGGTGGACCGAGGAGCAGAGGTCGGAGAGATGCTGGACCGTGCCGCGCTCCGGAGACCACGGGGAGGCTTCCTGGCATCATCCTGAGACCGAGGAGAGGGCCCTCGGCGGGTTTAAGCACCAGTGACAGAGAGGAAGGTGACCAGAGTCGGGCACACTGTCCCACTGGAGGGTGACAGAGGGTGACAGTGTTTGTTCAGCACTGTTCGGCACGGCTGGTTGGAATGATCTCAGCAGGGTCGAGGCACGGGGGATGCGCAGGCTCACGGCACCTGGTTTCGGGGTGATTAGGGCAGGTGGGGTGTGACCTGGAGCTTGAGAGCCCTTCAGGTGCCCGATAAGGGAGGTGGTTGGGGACAGGGACCTCTGGGGACATGAGCTGGTGTGCATTTCAAGACACACTGGCCTATGAGCCGCTGGCCATCTCTAAGAATCAACTGACCCTGGCAGGAGCTTTGGGGCTTCTCTGGCATCGGACACCTACTGGTGGGTGAGGTCAGAGGCCTGGCGCGTGGAGCAGCAGACCCTGCCAAGGTCACTCACCCGTGGACGTGGGAGGCTCCTGGCCCACAAGTCCACAGGCGCGGATCTGCGTGGTTCACAGGGGTCCTCTCAGGGGCTGGACCTCTGTCTTCATTACCTGAGGTTCTGGACCATGAAAGAAGGGGCTTGTTCCACGTGGACCCCCAAGAACAGAGCTTGAATTTGTGGGCAGAGGAGAGAAGGAAGCAGATCTCAATTCAAGGACGGACGGAGCCTTCCCAGACCCAAAGTCCAGGGATGAAAAGGGCGACGTGAGGAGGCAGGGGACTCCCCTTCTTGAGAGCCATCCTCGTGAGACCAGGAGCCACCCAGTGTCACCTGGATGCCTGGCTTCAGCCTGCCCAGCCCGAGCCTGGGGACTGGGAGCCACCTTCAGAGCCCCCGAGAGGTGCCATCGATACCTTTGGTTCACAGATAAATAACCGGGTTGTCTCGATGATCCCGGGTCCCCTAGAGAGTACACAGTGCCTTAGGACCTGGCCCAGGAGCTGGAACACCTGTGGTCTCAGCCAATCAGCCGGGGCCTCTCTGGTGGCAAGGACAGCCCCAGGGAGGGGTACCAGGTGGCTTCCTGGGCCACGCTCCAGGCTTGGTGCCTTCACATCTCTGCCGTGTTGGGCTCCGGAATCTGAGTTTTCATAAGACGGTGACAAGTGGCCACGGAACTTTGAAAGTCGCCGCTTATTGCCCTCCTGCTCTGAACGGGGGAGATGGACTAGAGGGGTCGGATGTCACGTCCTTTAAGGTCCCTTCTGCTCCTGAGTGCCCAGAAGTCTGTGATTCACGGCGATTCTCGCTGTCTGTGGATTCTGTGGATTTGTATTTTCCCGCCTCCGGCATCGACCTCAAAAGCAATGGCCTCATTATCCAGATAATGGCCCACGAGCCGACGGGAGGTCCTGATCCCGTTCACAGAGCCCTGAGCCTGTGCGGGAGGGAGCTCTGCTGAGCAGGACAGCAGCATCAACGGAAGGAAAGTGTTCGCCTGACAAGGGGGGTCCCACTGCCACCCCACCTCACAGATGACGGCACTGAGGCCCGGAGTAGACAAGTAACTCGCTTCCCGCCTCGCTCCTGGG